CCTGTTAAGATCAGATCATGTCTGCCTGTATTGCCTCGCCTCAGCAGCAGCCATGTTCAGTGTTATTCCTCTCAGTTTCATGTGCCTCGAACAGATCCTCTGTGTGGTTTTTTAATGGTTTAATGAGCCGCTGGCCGTGGCTCGGCAGATGGAAACTCGACGCACACTCGCTCATTTACACTCATCTGTAATACGCTGCTTCCACTCGAACCACAGCTACTATCTGCACACACTTCTCCAGAAGCCATTTTGACTTTGTTTCCTGTAAGTGTTTGTGTTTAACAGTGTGGCTCAAGTGGTGTTTATATAAAAAGGCCTCATGAGAGCATCATAACTCAGATCAAAGTCTGATAAGAGGGGCAAAGACTTTATATGATGACTTAATGACCTGAGGTTAAATGTCTTTGGAAACGTTTATCTAAACGTCTGAAGGACTTAGCTGGAAGAAGGTCGCAATTCTCGTTTTCCTGTGTGTCAGCCGCTAACATGCGAGATCTCAAATAGATCAATCTTTGGCAAGAATCTCACAGACCGATCTCTTTACTGGCTCCAGGTTGAGCTGGAGAGATTTTAGAAGAGATCTGGATCTAATGCAGTGTAGATATTGGGATGGGACGAATTATCTTTTATTGGAAAGCAAGAGTGCTAGAGATTCCTGGATGACGTCATCTTGTTAACTTCTAGTGTTCAAAGCCTGTCTCAGAGAGCACTGAGGGAACAGCAACAAATGTCATTATAGAGCTGGCTGTGATGTGAATGTCCCCTGTTTTCTATCAGCGCATTCACTGAGCAGGCTAGAATGCCCAAGTTTAAAAATCAAATGTGGAAGACAAATGATCATCATTATTATGAAGGCTAAATCCTTGTCCATTCTGGGCTACTGTAGAAACATGGCTTTTCAGCATGGTGGACTCCAAAATGACTCATTCTAAGGTAACAAAAACAGAATGATTCTTATTTTCAGGTGATTATACACTAATGAAAACATACTTATGAATATTATATTCCATAGATCCTCCTAAATG